ATTTTCAGACATTAGGTAAGGTTTCACATAGGCTGCATGTTCTTTCAATTCTGCTCGGCTTTCAGTGTTTTGATTAGGCACCATTAATTATTTTTATGATTTCATGACTGCTTTTCCCATTAAGGGGGACTGCTTTTTGATGTCCTTTAGATTACATTTTTCTGCAACTGGCATTAATAATCTACAAGTTTGGAAAGCTAGCATAATGACAGGACCTTTAAAAGTAATACAACTTGAAGCCTAGACTTCTTGCCAACTGAGGGTTTCCTTGCTTCACTCTCAGAAACAAACCTCAGTGAAAAGTTAATTACCAACATTCCTGAAAATAAATAATACTCACTAACATTGGGAGTCATATATCGTACAATGATATATCCATTTTTCCACTCTTTCCCAAGCCTGCATTTTAAGGAACTTTTTCCTCCCCTCTTGCCTTCAGTCAGAAGCGTCTGTGTCTGATTTACAGGCCTTGTATTTTCCAAGAAAAAAAGCAATGCAAAGCTAGAGAAATGAAACTTCCTCATAGCTGTAGTGTACATGTCCATCACAGTCTGTTAAGAGAAACAGCATACTTTATTTAGTGTGGAACTTTTTAGTCCCATGATCACTCTTTATGAATACTGACTCTTTCTTCCTGTTTTCCCACACTTTCTAGAAAGACGGCAGCATATATTTATCTCTGAATTTACACCTTTCTTCACATTTGGATATGTCCGAAGGAGGTGCAAACCTGGTTTGGGACATTCAAGTCAGCGCCCACTATGAAGTCTGAACCACAGCAAAAAGATGTATGCAGTGACAGCCTAGGACCAGCTTATTCCCATTTGGTGCAAGTAAGCAAAGTCAGACTCAAGAGCTATGTCCACACAAGCAAGGATGTGTGTTTGCTGCAGCACAATGTGGCCTTGGGCCACAATGCATACCCCCACCTGTGTAGTCTGCAGCAGGACACATTGTCCTGCTGCTCCATGTGCTGTGGGGGGGCTGCCTGGGGCACAGGGTTGCCTCAGTGCAGGTTTAGCCACTAGGCAGCCCCTGTGCTGTGGCACCCTGTGCCCCAGCCATCCGGGGAGAGGCATGTGGAGATGCGGGAGCAGACCTGGGCTGCCTGCTTCCCCACCTCTACAGTCTGCAGAGCTCCTGTACTGAGGCACCCTGCGCGCCAGCCAGCCACTCCCCGGCTGGCTGGGGAGCAGTGTGCCTTGAGTCAAGGGAGCAGGCAGAGCCCCTGTGTTGAGGCATGTGGAGCCCCTGCACCATGGCTCACTGCACCACAGCCAGCCATGGAGAAGCTGGCTGGGGAGCAGTGTGCCTCAAGATGGGGGAGCAGACAGCCCTGAGCTGGCTTCTCCCCTGTCTCTGCGTGCCTCAGGGTGGGGGCTCCGCAGCACAGCCCCTGCACTGAGGCATACAAAGACAGGCGAGAAGCCAGCCCAGGGCTGCCTGCTCCCCCATCTTGAAGTACCCAGCACCCCAGCCAGCCAGGAAGCAAGTGGCTGGGGCTCAGGGTGCCTCAGCGTAGGGGCTTCATAGCCTGGGCTCTCTGCTCCCCCATCTCCACACTTGTCCTGGCACACACCATAAGTGACGCATGCCTCCAGAGGCTGGGGAGGCATGGCAACTGCCTGCAGGTGGTGTCAGCAGTGTCAGCAAGTGGGGACCACCCACAGGCAGTGATATGGGCATCAGCAGCAAGGGCGGGCCAAGCGGGGATTGTCTGCAGGCAGCATTGGCCGATTGGGTCCCCCCACAGCCGGATGGCAAGCCTGGAAGTGATGGTGGCAATTCTTGGGAGGGAAACCAGCTTTCTGCCTGCCCCCCCCACCCCCGCCCATCACCTAAGCCAAGAGCACTCACTCTCGGAGGGGAGGGGAGGGGAGCACCAGCACTCTCTGGGGGAGCACATGCACCCCCTATGCATCACCTATGGTGCACACCACTTTGGCATGCTTTGTGCCGCTTTTTCCTTCAGGTTTTGTTTTGTTTTGTTTTGTTTTGCTACCAGGAAATCTGGGTAGCAAATTTTGACCCGGAGCTACAAATTAGCAGTGCCACACATGATTTAACATGCAATGCACGCAGTTTTTAGTGCCGCAAAGAGGTCTGCACTGCCACAAATGCACATGCCTGCATGTTTGGATCCACCCAAGGAGTGAAACTGGAGTCCTGGGGAAACCAGCGCTCCGCACAGACTTCCAAGCCTGCTGGCTGACTCTGCAGGTAAAAACAAACCTTGGATTTATCCCATTTCTGACTGTTCCAGGGTTTGACTTGTATCAGAACAGATACAGGACATTTACACAGGCAGCCTGAATGGCAATTAACTCAAATTAAGAAAAGGTGTTGTCTCAAGATACTTCACAGATGTTAAAAGTGAGACAATGGGCCTGTAGGATACTAGAATAAAAGGAGAGAAATCTGGTGTCTGTTATTGCCCTAAGTTATCAGAACTCTCAAACCCCCAAAATGTGTGTTCTGTCCTGAGTCCTTCAACTAGTACATATTCTACTGTATTATCTACCTTAATTTTAAGCCCATATTATGACATGATGCAAACTGAAAGTCCAACTATTTGTCTTGGAAATTGCCTAAAATGCAAGTTTGGGATGAGTGACAGGTTTGGTGTGCCTATGACAGAAATATGAAGTGATTGCAAGTTTGATTACACTGTGGAAAAAGCAGACACTCAGTAGTGGGTAAAACAAATCAATAAGTTTCTTTAGCTCAGAATTTATTTCTAGAAACACTCAAAGGAGGTAGATTTCATTAACTTTCTGCTATAAAACAGCCTTTTCTCGACATTTTTCAGGTCTTATTAGCACTGCCATTTATACGTCTGCCCTTGGTTGTCACAACTACAGTGCTCCCCAGTGCCCCAGAAAGAAACTTCTAATGAGTGAAGTTAGCTGACTGAGTGGCTTGGTTCAAAGGTGGCATGTGAAAGTTACATTTTTTTATTACATTTTTTGTCTGTTTTTTTTCAGCAATTTTATTCAAATTATTAAAATCTAACCACCAGCTACACTCTTGTGATACAATCCCATCAAATCTATGCTAAGCAGGGTCAGGTCAGGTCAATAAGTAGATGAAAAACTTCTCAGTGCTAGTAATTCAGTAGCTAATAATTCCGTCTTTTAATTAGTGCTGAAGCAATTCCCATGCCTGGTGGCACCGAACAATGGTCTGCTGAAGATGTTACTGCTATCTATTGGAGTTAGTATTAAATCATGTGTGTCATTACAAAACCACTTAAGATTTTCCAAGTCTTTGTGTACAGAGGTGATTATCTGTTACCTTGAAGTCAGGCAGAAGGTATGCCAAGTATCTACATGAGATATTTACTGCAGTTGCCTAATTAGCTATGCAATAAGCATCTCAGCATCTACATGTGCAGGACTATTAGGATGGAGTCAATTAACTAACTCTGCCATAGGTTAATACTTGTAAACACAAGTACTATCCTACGATGGAGTTTTTTACTCCACAGCAACATACGTGTAGACACTGATGGGACTGGCTGGGGCAACAGGGTGCTTCTGTGCAGGGGCTGTCTGCTGTCTAGCCCTGCACTGGAGCACCCTTGTGCCCCAGCCAGTGCCTCCACAGCAAGTTGAGCTAGCTTGAAGCAGCCCTGGCTCAACATGCCGCAGTCCTGGGCATGCCCGGAAGCAATAAACTCTGGTGTGACATGTGCTAGAGTTTATTGTGTCACATTATGCATGTGTATATGTGCCCACTGAGATCATGTCAATATCTCTTCCTGCTATGATCTTTAATAACTACAAAGGGTTGAAGGTAGAGTAAGGTGATATATTAGAGACTCACATGTAATCCTGCCATAATGTCAACCCTTTGTGGTTATTAAAGATCACATTATGATCACAACATATACAAACACTTGTGAACACAATAACAGTACCTAGACTTTTCTTCTTTGTAAGAATAAAACTATTATCTTCAATACTCAGGCCAAATCCCAGCCTGACTTTACATTCTGCCTATGTTTAATTTCTTTGCTGTTTTATGAACAGGCATTCTTCATTTTTCTAAAATATTCTGTAGTATTACTCTCCACTGTTATAAAGTTGTATTCCAGAGGCGGCTATGTTTCAAGGGTTATATAGATTTTAACCCAATACACACAAATAGAATTTTTGTGATCAAAGGTGTTTATACGAATAAAAAAATGTTATTTGCCACCAAATCCCAGAAACTTTTTAGGACTGAAAAAACTCCAGAACAAAAACATGGCATCTCCAGGTCCAAAGATATAAGTAGTAGTAATTTTTGCTTGTAGATATGAAGATTCTACTTATTTCCATGATTTTTCCCTTCCTAAAGGATATTTCAGTTAACTCCCTGGCACCAAGCTGAGGAAGGATCAAAGTACTAAGTTAAAAATAGCTTGAAGAGTAAAGAATACTGAACAGATACACCGAGCCAAATTGTCAGTTTCATCAATGCAACTCACTGACAAGTGTAAATGAACATTTGGTCCGTTGCAGAAACAATAATATTAACATACAGCTGTTAATGTAACAAAAATATAACATTTATACAAGAATTTAGTCATCTGGAAATATTTAGCTTTATTAAAGGTTTTTTCCAATAGTTACTATAAACCTGCACTTCAGCTGCTAGGTGATCCTAATAAAGATGGTTATGTGCCTTGGCAGCAGTATAGGTTTTTGCAGAACCATTAGTTACTATGCATTTCTTATGGGGAAGTATCATAGTATACCACTTCTTGTACTAGTGTACTAATAGTATATTTTACTTGTGGTATATCTTTGTAAGGCATACTTGTACTACTTGAATAATTATTGTATTGAACTATGTCATCATTTTTTGAAATGCTTCCAAAATATTTTGTGTGTCAAGTACAACAGAGAAAAATAATTCTAAGAAGACAGGATAAGGTGATATTCAGTTGCACAAAGTTTATGCATTCAGACATAGTAACCAGATAACTTGAAGAATAGTTGAACAATTTTTCTTACTTGTAGCCAAGCTGTCGACAGACCACAGCTGCATCCTTATCAGACCATCCATCATCACAAATTGTTCCCCACTGGCCATTGATAAAAATCTCTACACGTCCCTCTTTCTTATTCTCGCCATCCATCAGCCTGATCGGAGGACCTGTGAATAAGATACAGCTGTCAACACACAACAGCAGAAGTAAGAGCTCATGCTTTTGGTCACTTCCATCACATTCCAGGGATGAGGTCAACTCTTGCTTATGTTCAACAAACTTTTCACTGTTTCTTCCATTACATATACATATGTAGCACAGCTTGTACCTTAACTAGAACCTGCACATTCCAATACTTTTTCCAGTACGAGAGGGAAATCAGGCAAAATCTGTCTTGATAGTCTTCATGCAGAACATCTATAAGTGAGTTTAACCAAACCTCTCTTCATGAATCTATGCACCCAGTTATTCTCAAATTATCTTTACAGGTGCTCTAACCCTGGGACTCAACAAAAATGTCACAGTACCCAGAATACATCTGTTAATAAGAATTTATTCCTAATGCTCAGTATTCAACAGCATGTTTACTAATGCAGTCTGATGTATTGGCATAATTAAACCAAACTTTCATTTGTAGTAATACATTTTCTTTGCCTTTTTAAATTGATTCTTAATCCAGAATTTCTTATAAAGCAAAATTAATCTGATACTCATTGATCAGAGTTAGTGGGATTTTACCATCTTCTCATACTCAAATGTGGACAGATGAATACATTATATGGAGTTAAAAGCAGAGGATTAAGTCAAATCAGCTCTCGATAGTAACAGATTTGTGTGTGCATTTTATGCCATAAGTGCAAGTTAAACTGCAATAATTCCATAGTTGTTTCATCCAGAAGTGAACCATCTCAGTTACTCCCATTTACAGTAGGCACGTCTACACAAGACACTTTACTGCTCAGCAGACTAATTTACTGCACAGTAAAGTGTCACTATCTATACATATATGGCAATTAGAACGCAGTAGACTAATTTACTGAGCTGCCGGATAGTCCCATCAGATACAAATGGTATCCAGTAGTGCAGTAAATTACTGTGCATAAATACACATATAGATACTGACTTCTGAACTAGTTTAAACCAGCTCAAATTGAACCAGACTATATTCAATTGCATTAATTGCACATGTAGATGTGCCCAGTAAGATGAACCATGGATTTTACTATGGAAGAACTGGTATCTAGCAAGTCCCCTGCCCCCTTTTAATTTGCCTTAATTTTTTCATCTGTCCACATCCTCAAAAGTGAAAATTGTGGATCAAATACTAAAATAACCAAGACCTTTCCATCCTAAAACACACAACCAACTTGGTTCTTATTTACTTGGATAGTGCAAAGAGCCTTAATGTAAAGGAACTTTGGTGTAAAGCCAGTAGCATGACTAAGGAGGGGTGACCAGGGCAAGAGCCCCAGGCACAGATTTAGGGGTGGAGGGCACAAAAATACCAGCTGCTGCCACTGCTCCATGCACTGCTGCTACCCAAGGCACAGAGCTGCCCTGTTGCACCTCTCTGTAGTCTAATTTACTTCAAAATTACTTTTACAGCTTTTACACCTAAATGAGAATCAACTATAAAATTTTAATATGTGTAGAAGTCTTTTGAGAATTTGGAGAAGCTCCTCATACGCAACTGGAACACAAGTTAGCAAGTCAGCTACCTTCACAAATCTCAAAAGGGCTTTCACTCAACAAGGACACTCCTCCAGAAAAATAGATTGCACTTTTGAAAGAGCGACCCAGCTACCACATGAAGAATTTCTACAGTAGAAAAAAAAAAATCCCCACAAATCGCACACCATTAGTTATGACATACCATCCTGTCATTCCCTTCCCTGGAACCTGTATGGAAAATTCTCAAACAATTGCAACCCATACTAGAAGACCCAATTCTTAAAGAGATCTTTCCAGAACCACCCATCCTAGCCTTTAACCAGATACCAAATCTTGCCAACCTCATCACCAAACTTCCTATGGCCCAAAACATAACAAATGGATCCAGACAATGCCTGGACAAGAAATGTAAAACCTGCCAACACATCTCCACCACTCCCACAATAACTACACCCCACAACAGAGCCATAACCATTCCTGGATCTTATACCTGCACCTCCAGAAATTAATATATCTCATCCAGTGCACTAAATGCCTGGATGGAAAATACGTAGGAAAACCATACAACAACTGCACACCAGAATAAATGCACGCCGAAAATCTATCAAAGACAAAAATACCCGATTACCTGTGAGTGCACATTTCTCACAAGACAACCACTGTCTCTCCAATCTCTCAGTTCTAATTCTCAAAGGGAATTTACAAAAAAACTTGTAGAAGAGCCTATGAACTTCACTTCATTAATCTACTGGATACAAAAAACCATTGACTAAATATAGACATTGAATTTATGGCACATTATAATCTGCCTGCCATCCAATAACCCCAGGTAACCTCTCTACATTTTACCAGCTACATTCTATCACCAAGCCAACATTCCCTCTTCCATCCCCACCCCCCCTCCCCGCCCCCGTCTTGCACCTATTAACTCACATCCCCTCTGATCTTCCCTACCATACATTTGCATTTTCACAGATCTGCATTTTGCATATTGGTTTAAGCTTCTATTCTACCCAGGAGAGCGCACAAACACCAGCAGACGCTCCGTATGCCTGAAGAAGGGAGTTTGTTCCTGGAAGTTTGTGAAGAACAATGTTTCCAACTATTTAGTTGGTCTAATAAAAGAGATCACATTTACCCAAAGAACCCTGTCTATCTTCCCTACAGGAAGAGCAAATGATTTAATTCTGCTCTTAGTTAAATTGTTACTAGTCTTATCTTGCACTGAAAAGTTAATTTAGTTTAAGTTAGGGTGTGAAATTAAAGCACAACAGCTATTCCTGAATAACACAATGTGTAGATAAGCCCTTAGGAATAATTCTGTAGTTCTTGGGCTTAATTCACCAAAGATCTTATGAATAAAAGTTAAAAACTTTAAAAATGTACTTTTTTAATTAGAAAAAGGCTTTCACTACAAATTTATTTGTTACAATTAATAGCGTACTGTTTATGTCTAGAAATTCACACACATTGAATAATTACATTTTTGGTCATTTTCACTTGCTTTCTAGTCAGCTACTAACTTTTACAGGGACTTAAAGGT